CTCCTCCCAACAGCCCTGGGAGGTAGGTGTTATTATTATTCCCCATTTTACAGATGAAGAAACTGAGGCAGACCATGACATGACTCCTTCAGTTCTTTGGTATTTGAGGCTGGATTTCAACTCAGGTCTTCCTAATTCAAGATCCAGTCCTTGATATATGGCATTACCCAGCTGTAACAACATCCATAGTCATTTTTGTATTTCCTTTTATCATATTTTATTGATGCTTCTTGTTTTTAACCATATATTTATTTCTAAGTATATCCTTCTACACTCCCCTGCCCAAGGAGCCTTTCCCTTATAACAAAAATTTGAAAAGAAAGAGAAAGGCAAGCAGTTCAGTAAAAATAACCAACAAACATATTGACCACAGCTCACAAAATATTGAACATTCTATGCCGCATAATTCGCCTCTTTTGCAGTGAAGGGAGGCGCTCAGCAGGTGCTCACTGAGCCCTCTTGCCTATCAGCAGGAACAACACATACGTTCTGCTCATCTGGCAATTGCTCAAACATCTACAATTGGAAACCCCTGCTCTGGTGTCTGAAAAAAAAACACAGCCATGAGTTGGTGGCAACCGATTTAGTTGCCACCTATGGCATTCCAGCTTTTCTCAACTATCTGGGGAAATAGTTAAGAATCCTGTGGGTGGTCCTACCCTCAGATCCCTGAATGTGGAGGAAATTGGGGGTCAGGTGGGTCTCCAATACTATGGGCCCGGAAAAGGGAGGAGATCTCTTTTAAACACTGTGTACTTGACCAAACATGCCATCAATACTGCTTAGTTTATTTCCATAACGCCAAACCGAGCACTTTTTGGTTATCATCAATCGGTCGGGGTCAGAAGCAAGATTCATCACCAGGTCTTTCTTGACTCCAATTCAGCTTCTTGTCTCTTGCCATTAAACTCTCCTCCCTGCCATAGTGAATGCCTTGGCTGGAAAAAGAAATATCTGCCTGTGGTGAGCTTTGATTTTCTGTAAAATTATGCAAAAATCTCTTGAAAAATCAGTCACTGAAGATTATGTAGTCAACAGAGAATTCCAAATATGGAAGATGTTATCTTCTCCTGGGGCTTCATTTCAAATGATTGATGGCTGCCTTATCTATACATGCAGACAGTGAGCAATGGAAAAAAAGAGAAAGGGGGTTCGTTTCTTCAAACTCTGCAAAAACAGGTAGAGGATGGCAGGTGCCTTTGCTATGGGTTCCCAGGAAGGCTGTGGTCAGGGAGCAAGGACAGTGGGTTTGAGTCTTACCTTTGCTTAAGGAAATGAAGAGCTCAGGCAGATATATTTAAATCACAGCAGCAGCTACCACTTGGCATCAGGAAAAGGGAACAGCTCCATGTAGAAGAGGGTTAGATTAAAAAGCAATTTTTCTAAGTTGATGAGATTGTTAGAAAAAATGTAGAGTCTAATTTTACTGGAAAATATTCAGTCATACAAATGGTGTACGTGAAGGAAAATTAACACTGCGGCTATGGCATGGGGAAGGGCTAACTTTCTATAATTATGACAGAAAACAATATGGGGTCATAATGATAAATGTGTACATAATTCAATTCAATTTTTAAAAATAATTTATTAAATCCCTATGATGTAAATGGGCATATGACCCATGAAAGAGATACAAAAAAGAAAAATGGCAGACTGTAA